TGGAGAGCAAATGTTTTGAGAATGATGAGGGCAATGAATGTACAAATGTGCTTTACACAATTGATGTATATATGGATTGTGGTAAGAGTTGTATGAGCCCCTAATAAAACGATTTTAAAAAAAAGTCTGCTTGCTGTATGTTAAAGAGAGAGAGTGAAAAGAGAGAAAGGGAAGGGAAATATGAGCACAGACAATTCTTCCAAGGCATTATGTTTTAAAGGGGACAGGGACTGTGATTTCGGTAGATGGAGAGGAATTGGCAGGGCGGGGTTCTCTTCTTTTTAACTTTGGTTTTCAGATGGGGAGATATGAAGGCAATGTAAAGGCAAATGAGACAAATCCTCTAATGAAGAAAAATCCATGGAGAATCTGTGAAGAAGACACTGCTCTGTTCACAAGCCATGCTACTATTTACACCTGGGCCCCTCTAGAAAGATTTGTTAAGTGAATCACCTCACATTAACAAAATTGCCAGACATCCCAGTCAAAAGTGGTCCTGTGACTTAACTGAAATTAAATCGCCAAAACTACACCACTGTTTCTACTGCTGCCCATGATGTTTAACAGCTTTTTCATTTAAAAGAAGTTCAAAAAATTAAGTTAATTAACAAATCACATTGGGTAAAGTGCTCCACCAAATTCCTCCTAGAATGATCTGAATTTCAGCTGTGCTGCATGTGTTGCTTCAGCCTCTATGTCTACAGTTGGCTATGATACACCTGAAATTAAAGCACCAAATCCTTCCTTAAGATTCCAACAGAATCAAACAGAATCATACCCCGTCGGATGCAACTTAATATAGAGATCCATGTATACAGTACACAGATGTTGGCTCCTGAAACTTAACAGAAACTTTAAAATTCAAAGTATCCTAGGGTCAGCCAAGAGGGCAGGTAATCAGTGAGGAATGACGCCACAATTCTAGTTGCTGTAAAAGGATTTACCATATGGATGGAAAAACTAGAAAGGAAGCTAAGTATGGATGGGCAATAAGACCTCTAGTTTTCATATGCAGCAGGGCCTGGATTGCTAGTGGGCAGCACTACGGAGTGATTAAGAGCACAGGCTCTTGAGCCAAATCGCTTGGATGCAAATCCCAGGCTCTCTGCTTACTAATGAGCAAGTGACTTTGGGTGCCTTATTGAACTTATTTGGGCTCGGTTTCCTTAGCTGTATTATGAAATCAAGAGTGTACCTATTTCATAGGTATTGTTAGAAATATTAAATGAAGCGATGTTTATAAGTAACTAGAACAATGTTCAGGAAGTTTTAACTTAATTAATTGAAAATGTAGGCATGACGGGTCCCACTTGGCTATAGATAAAATTCAGGCCCCAGCTATTCCTTTTGCTTGCTCTTCATTGTCAGTTCATTCAGAACATTGTATCTTCCTCTTTTATCTTGTATTCTCTCAACCTCAGTTGACAATAGTGAAAACTGAGATAGGGAACTGCAGAGGAATGTATTACACTATTCTTTCTACATTTTGTTTCACAACTTTTCATAATAAAAAGTTCAAAGATTAATTTCATTTACAAAATACATTGGGCAAAGTGTTTCACCAACTATGTCCTAGGATTATCTGAATTTCAGCTGTGCTCTCTGGGTTGTTCCAGCCCCTATCTCTTAACCGTTGGCTACCGAGCAATGTTACAGTCTCCATGGAGGCTGTCTGCCCTCTTGGCAGCAGGGTGAGTGCCATGATGCAGCTGCCGTTGGCATGCTGAGAGCTGGAAGGGGAGAAATTATAAGGCAAAATGAGAGAAAAATCACAAAGAAAATGTGAGACAAAATCCAAGGACCCCGTACCCAATAAACCGGATCACTAAGTTTCCAGCTTGGCAGCCCAGGAAGCAGAGGGGAGGGGAGGGGACCTGAGGGCTGACACAGGTGCATGCATTCCCCTGCAAAAAGCAGCTCAGTCACTCCCTCTTAGACACAGTCTTGTGCTTTTTCATTTGCATAATAAAATGGATCTTGAAAGAGAAGAATCAGTATGTTAACCACAATGGAGCAAGAAGAAATGAATCAATTAACCTTTTAGTTAGTAGCCAAATTTAAAAAAATTACTTCAAATATAATGTTCACAAAGCATGTTCATTATTTTTGTGCTATTAATCCTTCAAAGAAATGAAGCCATGATGACATTCTTTAAGATAGGTTCCCTTATGTAATCTGGCATTAATACTTCTTTTTCAAAGAGTGTTTGGCCTTATAAGGTTTAAACTTAAGTATTCTAGGTCAGATTTTTATTCTAATCTTACTGACAAAGTAAATATCCTTATCTATAGCATCACAATAAATAGAGTTCATAATTATCTTGCTGTTTTAATATGTACATATAAAATGATTTATTCTTCACCAGTTAGCTGATTAAAAATGGACTGGCCGCCTTTTGTCTTCTGTTCCTCACCTGCTAGTATCTTCCTTGCCAATAATTCCGACGTTTAGGCACTATTCTGCCCTTTCTTGCAGAGGGGCTGTAAAGGTTCTTGAGGTTCAAGCTGTTAAGATCTTCTAAGAGCTCAGGGGTGAAAACCTACTCCACGAGTACACTGCACGTAACACTTTTCAGAAGAGCCTTGGAAACATGAAGTCACTTTTGCAGAGCATCAGGGTAGTGGCATCTCTGTGAACCTCATTCTTGGATGTTTGAACGTAAGAAAACGCAGGTATCAGAGCGGACAACTATCTTTTTCCTGGCACGTAAGCCCAACAACCTCCATGAAGTCTATTAGAAGGTGCCAACTTTGCAAATCTGGCAACAATTGGAGACCTCATCTAGTTAGCCTCATCAGACTAAATTATGAAGATTTTATTAATATGGAAATCATCTGCTTATGACATCGTCAAAAAAAAACCCAACCTTTTTTCTGCTTTCCCCCCCTGCAACCTGTGCCTCCAATAATTAAGAGAGAAAATAGTATACTATAAAAGCAAACTATTTATGTATAAAAATTTAGAATCCAGCCTTAACCAAGGTAGCAATGAAACTTATTACAAGAATCTGAAACTACATCTAAAACACCCATCTAACACATTCAATTTACATGCAAAGAAGGTAGCAGTATTAAGCATATTTCAAGAAAATGAGTTACACTAAGAAGCAGTAGTATCAAGCTCTGGCTGTCTATGCTTTTAAATTCTGTCTATAAATAAAAGACATGTTTCTTTGAACAATAGCCTGAACAAGCAACGCTGTCACTTTATCTCCCAAGATAACTATCCATTGTATTCCGGCTTCAGCTGGTTTCTGCTTGCATTACATCAGCCTCTTGATAGGAGGTGGGGAGAGGGGCAAATCTGAGTCAGAAGCATCAAAGGACCGAGGTTAGGAGAAGGTGATACAAGCAAGTGACCCAGGGAATATAAAACTCAAGCATTTGTTGTTGTTGCTATTACGGCCGTTTCCTGAAGAAGCAGATTGCTAATAAATTTCTAGCAGGCTGTTAAGCACCAGAGGATCCATCCCCTGTACCTGCACAAATCCTATGCAGCCAGCTCCTTTCACTTGGGAGAAATGATATTTCGAAGGTAGAGACTATTCCCTATTTTTTTTTCTCTTTAAAAAAATCATTTTATTTGGGGCTCATACAACTCTTATCATAATCCACACATACATCCATTGGGTCAAGCACATTTGTATATTTGTTGCCATCATCAGACTCAAAACATTTGCTTTCTACTTGAGCCCTTGGTATCAGCTCCTCATTTTTTTCCCCTCCCTCCCCACTCCCCCCTCCTTCTAAATTAGACTCTTATCATCTTGGGCCAGAATTATTTCCACAAATCTATTCCCTGCCTGCAGCTGCTGTGATCTCTGTTAGTTGCAGTGACATTGATGATGTCATTAGTCTACGCATTAGGCATCATGATCTTCATTCTTTAATTAAAATGGGGCTCTGAGAAGTTTAGTAACTGTGGTGTGATAGTTTACATGGCCTTTCTTGTCATCATCTTGTAATTCGGATGGAATGATTGGATGGGATTATGCAAATGAGATGGATGTGGCCCACCAAAGGGATTGGACAGCTGGCTAACTGTGCAAACGAAGTGCGTGAAATGCTTTTTTGGGGCGGGGCCATGCAAATAAAATGTTTGGGATCAGGAGGGAATGATTGGTCACTTTTTTTTCTACTCCTATTTCTTTTTATTTTATTTATTTATTTATTTATTTTTAATAATTTTATTCGGGGCTCATACAACTCTTATCACAATCCATACACACATCAATTGTGTAAAGCGCATTTGTACAT